CCGCGCGCGGATTTCGTGGATCCACGGCGGGCCCCCCCGGCGGCGTCTCCAGCGCCGCCCCTGGCGCGCTCCGTGCGCCAGGGAGTGAGGTCCAGCGCAGATCCAAGAAATCTGCTCCGAGCGCCAGCAGTTTATGTTTCTGGCGTGTTTTTCCTCCTAATGCACGCGGGAAAGATAAGGATCAGACGGGACCCCCAGAACTTGCAACTTCAGAACGGGCTTCCAGCAGGAGTGCACCCCACACCCTCGGCCACCGAGAAAGACCATCCTGGAGAAACGCGTTGGCAACAAGGTTGCGCGTGTCGGACGGCTAACACTTAGCGGGGGCAGTGCAGCAGCCACCTGTCTCCGTTCGGCCCATCAAAACCTTGCGAGCGCCCCTACCGTGAGCACATCTGCCTCGATTCCTGGAAGCATCCACCGCATTCTGGAGGCACGGATGGATGGTTGCAAGACGGGTGGGTTTCATGGTGCCCCCCACATGCACTGATCCATGCGGAAATCCTTGGCCCCTTGGAGGGACAAGAGGTGGTGCAACTCGGGAATCTTCCAGCAAGACGGGGCGCGGGGGTGGGGTCAATGGGCTTCTCGGGGTGTTCCATGGCCGCAGGGTCTCGCACGCCGCAGCGTGGTAAAGAAAAATTGCGCTAACCCTCATCAGAGCATGTCCAGTTGCAACTTGGAGAGCCTCTTTGGGTTGAGGTCGGGCAGCTCCCTATAACTGGTCCGCGGATCGCAGGGGCCTGGGGGGGCTAGGGTCTGCGGGATCCGGGGCCTGGCACAGCTCCGAGTCTCAAACGGGGGGCTCGTCCACATCCCCACGGCCTTGCTCTGACGAAACTGTGTCACCCAAAAATCTAGAAACTCTTTCCTGCGGAGGTCCCCCCACATGGGGGCGCTTGCAGCGTCCATGGAGACCATCACCATTCTGTACGGTTGGTTCGCATGCGCCGCTTCAAAGGCGTCCTGAACGTCAGCCTCTCGTTCCGCACCCGAGAAGCAGTACAACCAATACATGATTTTCATTCCCAGTGGGCGGGGAATTGCCGTAGCACAACTAGAGACAACAGGAGCTGGAGCAGAAGGCGCAGGAATGAACGCATGATCACCTCCCACTCCTTGAGAGTAGGACGCGTTGGCCCCGCAATCCTGTAGGCAGGAGGGTAAGCACGATGCTCAGAATGGCTAGCTCTGCGATTTCCAATGGCGCTCCGAAACCATAGCCTCCCAGTCCTGTTGTCTAAGCTCTGGGGTCTTGTGGTGGGCCGAGTCGGTCCAAGTCTGCCGACACTCATGGGTCCTCGTGGTGTGCTTACGGAGCCACGAGAACGTGTGATGTTCCGAAACATGCGCGCGGCACGAAGTTCTGCTCGCCCAAGAAACTGGGCCAAGCGCGGATGGGTGCCTACGCGCAAGAGGGACCTCCTCCTCCTCCTCCTCCTCCTCCTCCTCCTCCTCCTCTCGTAGCACAGGAAGGCGACAGGCGAGGGCGACGGTGGGGCTTTGCAAGAGGGCGGGGGATCAACGCGGCCCCCGCGCGCTCGAACCAGCTGTTGGTGCCATTGCCTGAGAAGAAACTCGTACACTTATCGGCGCCACCCCAACATACTAATAACATGCGTGCTTCGCCCCCTCCTCCCCCGCAGGGGCGACGCGCGCACCGAGAAATCCTACAGTCTATGCGTCGTGGCGGGCGCTATCTGGCCACACCGCTCGGGAAACGATATTGTACAATAGTGGGTATACTATATGTTCGGGTCGGACGCGCGCCTCCAAGGAGAACACAGAGTACTAGCATGTCTTTGTGCGTCCCATCTTTTCTCCACGGGTGCTTGTGTTTGGCGGTGTTGATGCATCGCTTCGTTTCTTTCGGCCTTTCTCTGGCGAGGCTGATCCATTATTCGGGGCATCTCGCCAACGAGATCCCTTCAGACCTGATTTTGAAAAAGATATTGAGCCAAGCGAAATCGTCAAAAATCATGCTGGGCCTACCTTCGTTGGCTTCAAGCAGGAAATCTAAAGTGGCAATCAGCGCAGGAGGGCCACAGGCGAGCAATCTCGGGAGGTATCTGAGCCTAGCGAGAGTAAAATACATAGGCGGCGGGATTCGAACAGCCTGAGCGAGTGTCTCCTGAGTGCGCTCGTGTTCAGCAGAGTTGTGAGCCCCAGCCTTGGCGATGCAGGCATGATTGAATCTAGAGTCAATGTTGGTTGTCCTGAAGCTTCCCTAATGTCGCAGTCAAAGGTTACCCCGAGTTTCTTAATAAGCGTCGGGGGGGCGTCACCCCCGCCGACAGCCCCACATCGACCCCCGTCGCGGGCAGCCACCGTGCGCCGAAGGCGCTCCGACCCCCGTCGCGGCGCGACGACGAGACGAGGTTGACCCCCGTCGGGGGGGTACCCCCCACGCTTATTGAGAAACCCAGAGTATCTTAGACAAGGACAGGGCCTCGCCAAAATGTTTATTTTTTGTTTTTTTGCTTGTTTTTTTGTTATGTTTTGTTGTTTTTGTGTTTCCCATTTTGAGCCTTCGATTGCGTCCCAGAGCTCTTCTCAGGGGCCCCAGGGCTCGGGCCAGGCAAGTGGCCCGCGCCACAGCCTCCGGGCCCATCGATCCGCCGTCCCGAGTGATAGTGCCGAGGGATCCTCCTCCCTCCTCCCTCCTCCCTCCTCCTCCTCCTCCTCCTCCTCCTCCCCCTCCTCCTCCTCCTCCTCCCTCCTCCTCCCTCCTCCTCTCCTCCTCCTCCTCCTCCTCCTCCTCCTCCTCCTCCTCCTCCTCCTCCTCTCTCTCCTCCCTCCTCCTCCCCCCTCCCTCCTCCTCATCCTCCTCCTCCTCTCCTCCTCCTCCTCCTCTCCTCTCCCTCTCCTCCTCCTCCTCCTCCTCCTCCTCCTCCTCCTCCTCCTCCTCCTCCTCCTCCTCCTCCTCCTCCTCCTCCTCCTCCTCCTCCTCCTCCTCCACCTCTCCTCCTCCTCCTCCTCCTCCTCCTCTCTCCTCTCTCCTCCTCCTCCTCCTCCTCCTCCTCCTCCTCCTCCTCCTCCTCCTAACTCGATCTTTAGATGCATATCTTTGTGACGTACAGAGCAGGAGAGGGCCGTCCGTTCCCATCCTGGCTCAAGCTGATCATGCGCCCGAGACGTACAGAGCAGGAGAGGGCCGTCCGTTCCCATCCTGGCTCAAGCTGATCATGCGCCCGAGCTTTGTAGCATCGACCGCAATAGCCTGGCTGGCAGCGTGGTGCTCGCGCGGCGGCCTCGAGAGGGCCTGGCGGCGCGAGGAGGCAGCGGGTCACCGCTGCCCCGACCTCCACTGCGCGGAGGTCCCGCCGTGCCCGGGGCTGCGGTGCCCCGACCCGCCGGCGTGCCCGGCTTTGCAGTGCCCAGCGGCGCCGGAGCTGCACTGCCCCTCCTGCTGCTCAGACGAGCGGGAGGCGCCGCTGCGGGCCGCCGGCAACGCGAGCTCGCCGGAGGATAGCCTTCCTCAGGCCGCCCCTCGGCGGGCCCCGCCAGCCCCCGCGCTGGAGGGTCCGGCAGCGGCGGGTAGCGCGGCGGGGTGGCTCGCCGGCGCCGTCGTGGAGCTGCTGGGAGGCGGCCTGGGGGTGTTCTGTCACGCGGTGCTGGTCGTCACGGGCGTTTGCGCTCGGGCCTGCTGGAGGACGCTGCTGGAGCGAGCTCGACCTGTTCCTCGCGCTCTTCGCGATGGCGCAGGTGGTGCAGGAGTGGGCGTGGGTGCAGTACGCAGGAGCGCCCCTCTTCCACCAACGACACGTGGAAGGAGTCTTGGCGGGTACTCCAGCGGCAGCGATTGAAGTTGTGGTGACCACACCCGACGGTGACGTGTACTGCGAGACGTACGGAGGCACTGACCACAACATCGCGGCCGTGCGCTGGAGTGATGTACGCCGACCGCCTCCTCCAGGGGTGCCGCGAGACTCGTATCGGTTCAGGAAGAAGATCACCCCGGCGGAGGACATGGAGTTCCAGCGGCTGGCGAGGATTGCCGCTCGGGACGAGTTCGTGGCAAGAGATCGTCGTCATGGCGGGCCAGGTGTCGAGCCCGCTGGAGGCGCGCTGCTGCCGCTGGCCGCCGACGTGGCGCGTGCGCCGATCCCGCCGCCCCGCTTCCTGGGCGAGGGAGACGGCGGGCCTCACCCAGTCGGGGGCGGCGGTCCGCTGCGGGCGGCTGCTGCCGCGGCTGGCGGCGTCGGCGCTGGCCCTGCGGCGGGAAGCGCCGCTGCGGCCGGCCCCGCCGCGCCCCCCCCTCACGACGACGAGCTCGTGTGGGTGGTCACAGAGACCCAGCACGGGCTGAAGCGCGGGTCGGTGGTCTTTCCAGGAGCGGGGATGCCGAGCCTTGGGGACGCTGGCCTCTACCAGGTGCCGGGAGCGGCGCCTGGTCCTCGCGGGCCGGCAGCTGTGCTGGTGCGGCGCATGAGGTACGGCGACGTGTCGAGGTACCTGAGGTTAGAGTTCAACGACGACGCGCGCGTGTTGCCGGTGTAGCTGCTGGGCGAGAGGCGCAAGAGGCTGACCTGGCGACGCGCGGTGGAGCGGTCCTCGGTGACGCCCTTCGCCGATTGGCCGATCCAGGGGCCGCGGACCGTGGAGTGGGTGATGAGGTTCCGTGACCGACGAGGAGGTGGGCCCGGCGATCACCGTGCTTGGTGGCGACAGGTCAACCGACTCCAGCGCGGCGACTGGGGCGTCGACATCCACGAGAACGGTCTGCGCGCCCTGGAGTTGGCCGCAGTCTACGGCAACCTGGAGCTAGCCAACCTTGCGAGCCTGGAGGTGATCGCTCGGGAGTGCCAGCTCGTAGAGTACGCCTACTCCCGCGAGCCCATCGGCGGGTCCTTGGCCGAGTCGGGCGACAAGAACGGCAAGAAGGACCAGAAGGGCAAGGGCCATGCCCTCGCGGGCTTGCTCGACGAGAGCGACGTCTTCATGGGGCGGCACCGCGAGGCGGGCGAGACGATGGTGTCGCCCGACTTGCTGGACTTCGTGGCGAGGGAGGTGGAGCGCGACGCGAGCGTGCTCAAACAAGTTCGCAAGGCACGGGAGGGACGCCGTGCCTTGCGAAAAGATGGTGCATGAGAGGCACTCGCCGGGCTTCGGGCCCGGGCCTGGCGGGAACTACAGGGCCCGCGAATTCGAGCAGTCGCCTGGGCGTGGACATCACAGACAGCGTGACCTTTTTCCGTTACCTCGGCCTTCGGAGGCGGCTCCTCGGACGCTGGCCTCCCCCCGTGCATGCCGCGCGACAAAGAGACGGGCGCTGCGTCAGGCGGCGATAGACGCGGCCGCTGACGAACTCGTCGACGCCCTGAACGACATGTACAGGGCGCCCCGCGGCGGGTCTCCCCGCCCGGGCTTGAGGCCGACGTTGGCGCAAAGACTCGCCCTGGATCACCTGCGCCAGCGCGTGGTGGGCCTGGGGCCGCCTCCCGAGGACCTCGACGGACCAGGGGCCTTCGACGAGCTCCAGTCCAAGCGGGCCTGCGACGGCTCGTCGTCCAGGCTGGCCCCTCTTCGTGTGGACCTACTTGACCTGCCTCCTCCTGGTTTTCACCCGGTGACGCTCAGCGAGGTGGCGGGCCCTGCAGGCGAGTTGATCGAGAAGGGGTTTCTAGATAAGGCGCTTCCCGGTGTGGAGGGGGAGGCGGGACTGAAGCAACTCGGCTTGCGCCGGGCATGCTCTGACCCCGCCCTACGCAGTCGCAAAGTGTACATCGAGTTTTGAAGCGACTCCACGCCGCGAGCCTGCTCGATTTCAGGCTCAGTGTTCGTCGTCGAGTAGGGTGCTTCAGCGTGTGGAAGAAGTCAGGCGCCCAACGGCTAGCGATCGACGCCAGGATCCCGAACTGCTTCTTCGAGGGGCCCGACCCTGTGCAGCTGGCGAGCGGAGCGTGCTTCGCCAACCTCCAGCTGGACGCGGGATCCCCGCTGGTGCTGGGCGGCGCCGACATCAAGGTGGCCTTCTACGCCATCGCGATGCCCGAGGAGCTGCGGGACCTCCTCTTCGGCTTCGAGCCCATCAAGGCGTGGGAGGTCGGGGTGACGCACGTGTGCGGCGAGGCCGTGAAGCCGGGCGACCGCATCTTCCCAGTGATCGCGGTGCTGCCCATGGGCTGGGTGCTGGCGCTGCAGGCCTGCCAGTCCTTGCGCGAGGTGTTGGCGCGCCGCGAGCCCGACGTGGACGAGCACAACGCGCTGGTGGATGGGCGACCGCCTCCCGGGCTCGAGCCGATCGTCCACGCGGAGTACGTGGACAACTTCGCGTGCTTCGGGAGTGACCCCGCGGTCGTGGGGGACGTCGTCGACCGGGTGCGTGGGCGCCTGGTTGCTGCGGGGCTCCCGATGCATGAGGCCGAGGTGAGCGTCGGCGGCGACGCCCTCGGCTGGCACTTCACCGAGGGCGGCCGCTGCTCGATGTCGCTGCGCACGGCGTGGCGGCTTCGGCTGGCGCTCTTGCGCGTCGTGAAGCTGAGGCGGGCGAGCGGGCGCGAGATGTCGGCGCTGCTGGGTCACTTCGCCACGCGCGGGCTGATCCGCCGCGAGGTGCTCTCGGCGCCCCAGGCCTGCTTCGCCTTCGCTCAGCAATTCAAGTCTGGGCGGGGCCAGCTCTGGCCCTCAGTGTGTCGGGAGCTTCGCTGGATGGCCTTCGTCGCTGCTCGAGAGCTGGGCGCCCCCCTGGTGTTCAAAAGTTCACGTCTTCGATGCGTGGGAGTGGGGGTGCGGGGTGATGAGTAAGACGATCGACGCGAGGGACGTGCAAATCATCGGCTCGTATAACGACAGGTGGCGTTTCTCGAAGTCGGGTGAGCAAGAATTAATGTCATGATCCTCGGGGCGATCTTCATCGGGGCGAAGGTGGTGGTTTCGATCGGGTGCCCCCTGTTCCGGAGCACGTCTGGGGGGAGACTGGTGCCGAGTCGCTTCTTTCCGATGGGCATCTGGAGATCGCCAAGTTCACCTCGATTCTCGATCGGCGACCTGGACTCTCAATCACCTGGCCAGGAGGTCCTCTTCTCACAACAAGCGTCACCTCCTCCTCGGAGATGCCATGACCGTGATCCTTTCGCGGACCAAGGGCCGGGGCGCCTCTTTCGGGCTCTGCCGGGCCCTCCGGCGGTCAGCCGCCCTCGTGCTGGCCGCCAACCTGTGCCCGGCGTGGCGATGGCTGCCCTCTGAGTGGGGCGCGGCCGACGCGGCCGCGCGCGGGCGCCGGAGCACCTGCGCTGGAGGCTGGAGCCCGGGGGCCGCGCCTGCGCCGCCGCCGGGCCGAGGTGCGCATGCTGGCGCGCGGGGCGGGCGCCCGGCGGGTCGCGGACGCTTTCCCCTCGGCGAGCCGCCCTGCCCTGAGGTCGAGGACCTCGTTCGCGGGTGCGGCGTCGACGACGGCCGCGACGAGCTCGTCGGGGACTTGCGCTTCCACGGACGCGTTCCCAGGCGCAGGGGCGCGGCGCCCGCGCCCGCCTCGCCAGGCTCGCGTGGTCCGCGAGGCCGGGCTCGGGCGAGCGGCGCGCGGAGCGGCCCGCCGGGCTGCCCGCCCGCCGGCGCCGCGGCCGAGGGCCGCCCGGCGCCGACGGACCGTGCTGGAGCGTCGGTCTGTGTCCGCGCGGCAGGAGAGCGAGTGCCGGGACCAGTGCGACAGGTTCTTGGCTTGGGCAAAGCAGCAGCGGCTCAGGACGAGCCGCCTGAACGACCTGGAGGTGACGCTGGTGGAGATGCTGAATCAGATGTTCTACGACGGCTGGAGGTCGAACACGGCGTCCAAGATGGCGGCGGCGGTGGCGTACTTCCGCCCAGAGGCTGGGCCCGCCGGGGCTTCTCCCGCCTCGACCTGCCGCGGGCCAGGCTGCCGCTGCCGTGGGCTGCGGCCTGCCTGGTGGCGCGGCGGCTGGCGCAGGGCGGGAGCTGGCACATGGCCGCCGCCGTCATCTTCGCCTTTATCCACTACTTGAGGCCGGGCGAGCTGCTCCGTCTGCGGGAGTGCGACCTGGTGCCGCCTCCGCGACAGTCCCGCCAGCGAGGACTCAGGTGGAGCGTGATCCTCCACCCCCAGGAGCTCGCCATCACCTGAAGACGGGCGCCCGCGACGAGACGGTGCTCGTCGACGACGTGGAGGAGTTCGCGTTCCTGGAGAGGCTCCTCGCCCGGCTGCGCAGCAGCGGCGGCGTGCAGCTCGTGTTCCCCTTCAGCTACCGCGAGTGGGCGAAGGGCTTCGAGGCGGCCGCGACCGCCGTGGGCCTGGTCGGGGACTCGCTGCCGGTGCTCTACATGCTGAGGCACGGCGGCGCCTCCCACGACGCCATGACGGGCGCGCGGGGGCTCCGCGACATTCAGGGCCGAGGTCGGTGGATGACCGAGCGGTCCGTATTCAGGTACAAGAAAGGAGGGCGGGCCAACCAGCCACTCCACGGCCTGCCCGAGGCTGTGCGCCGCGCCGCCGACAGTGCCGTGCAGAATGTTTCTGTGTAGCTCCTGCGGAGCTGAGTCGTCGCTGGAGGGCTTCGGCATTCCCGATGGGGGTTCGCTGTTGAGCTTGTCTCGGGCTCTGGCCGACTGAGTGCGGCCTGGCGGCAACGTCCCAGGCTTCGAGGCATCCCGATCTTTGATTTCGATTTCAAGTTCGGTCCTGAGCATGACCTCTCTCGGCGGAGTTTCCAGAGGTTTCTGCGCTCGAGGCTCCTGGAAGAAACCCTGCGGGCCGTCTGGATCGGACTCCCGTGCAACAGTTTTAGTACAGCTCGTAACCGGCCTAACGGGCCAGCGACCCTTCGGAATGCCTCTTTTCCCTTGGGTGTGCCAGGGTTCAAGCCCTGGGACGAAAAAGCCGCCAGGGCGGGAAACGCCCACGCCTCGTTTTGTGGTGGGCTTTTAAAGCTGGCTCGTCGGTCTGGGGCTCCGTTCGTGGTCGAGAATTCTGGCCAGAGCTGGTTGTGGAGTCACCCTGCCCTGTCCCTGCCTTCCTCGTCTTCGTCGTCGTCCTCTCCTCCTCCTCAAGACTTTTACACAGACTTTTGCATGGGCGGCGCCGCCTGGAGGAAACGCGCCCGTTTCAGAGCTGTCAATGTCGACCTCGGCCCCGCGGTGAAACATTGCTGTGGCCGTGGAGTGTGTACACGGTCGAATATTCCCCACATGCAGCTCGAGGGTAAAGATCCCCACGGTGTGTTTTATACCAAAAACGCCGAAGCTTACCCTCGTCAGTTGTGCCGGCGTGTAGTGCAGAGGTTCTCCGTTGCCCTTCTGGCCCAGCATTCTCGTAATTTCCGTGCATATCTTGAATAATGCGTTCGGCCGAACAAGTCGGCCATGATAGCCAATGTGGTCTACTTCCTGGTTATGGGTGTGCGTGTATAGCCCGAATTGAATCCCGACTTATATTCTCAGGCTGTGTCGCCGTCCTCAGAGCACGCGTTCACCTTTCACACAGATGATCCTTGGCCCTCGGCAGTGTTGCACGGGAAAGAAGATAACTCGATCTTTATATGCATATCTTTGTGACGTACATAGCAGGAGAGGGCCGTCCGTTCCCATCCTGGCTCAAGTTCCCTGCTTCGCTTCCATCCCTCCCTCCCCACTTTCACCAATCAGGGTGTGTGTGTATAGCCCGAATTGAATCCCGATTTATATTCTCAGGCTGTGTCGCCGTCCTCAGAGCACGCGTTCACCTTTCACACAAATAATCCGTGGCCCTCGGCAGCGTTGCACGGGAAAGAAGATCCTCCTCCTCCTCCGCCTCCTCCTCCTCCCTCCTCCTCCTCCCTCCTCCCTCCTCCCTCCTCCCTCCTCCGTCCTCCCTGCCTCCTCCTGTCTTCGGCAGGAGTCGGCGCGAGCTGCCTTGGAGCGAACACGAGGCAGGTGCTTGGCCTCCGCTTTGGCCCGCGCCCCTGCCGCAGGTCTGGGAGTCCGGGGCCACGAGCCTCCCGCTGGACCTGTGCGACCCTGGGGCGGCCGCGCGCCTCGCCAGGACCTTCACCCTGGAGGCCCGCCGCGGCCTGCCCGGGGCCTTCGCGGCGCGCTCAGAAGCCGCCCGCGGGGGATGCCCGACCGGCAGCCGAGCAGACCCGCCGATCCAGGCGTTGCAGTTTTTCACACCGGGCGTTTTCTCCGTTGTCTTTTCGGGCCCCAGGGCCCTCACAGCCTCGAATCTGGCTCGAAGGGTCACGCAGAGAGATGGGGTCCAGGGCTCTGGTGGTGATTTTCTGCGATGTTGCATTTTTTTTCGCAACGTCAGATTTGAGGGCAGAAGCAGTGGTCCCAGACATGCTTGCGTCGTGAAGAAAGATCCCCACGGGAGGTTTTGGGTCGTCTTCGGCCCTCTAGGGTCTTCGGGATCAGCATTCAGCCTCGGGGAACGGGCCGGAACAAAGGGCTGATCGTGGCGCCCTCCCGAGAGCCATGATCCCATTCCACGAGCTCCCGAGGATGCCGTCCACTCACGTCCCCGGTGGCACAAGGTCCATGCTGACAAGCTGCTTGCCCCGCCCCCGAGCTCTGAGCAGCGCTCGGATTTGTAGATGTCTCCTGCGCACGCAGCCTGCTCGAACGAGCCGTGTCTGAGTGACCGCACGCACGCTTGCCGCAGACAAACTCGCAGCCGAAGTTGCGTGCAGAGGCTGCCTGCGCGCGTGTGCCAAGGACGGGCACCTGCGCATCAGCTCGGTGGCAGTCTCGCTGCCGTTGGGCACGGCCTCGCCCTCCTTGTCGTTCATCACGATGTGGTCGCCAAGCAGGTGGCTCCCCACCACGCGGTATGCTGCACTGACCTGCTGCATCACCTGCTGTCGATTGCCAGTAGCCTCCGTCTGCCGACCGTGATGCCAGGAGGATGAGGAGGAGGGATTGAGACGAGGAGGGAGGATGAATGGGAGATGAGGAGGATGAAGAGGATGTGGATGAGGAGGCGGAGGAGGAGGAGGCGGAGAAGGAGGCGGAGGAGGAGGGATAATCATGCGGATGAGGGGCAGGTGGTGTGGATGAGGGGCTGAGGTGTGGATGAGGAGCAGGAGGAGAAGGATGATGATGATGATGATGATGATGATGATGATGATGATGATGATGATGATGATGATGATGATGATGATGATGATGATGATGATGATGATGATGATGATGATGATGATGATGATGATGGGGAGGGAAGAGGAGGAGGAGGAGGAGGAGGAGGAGGAGGAGGAGGAGGAGGAGGAGGAGGAGGAGGAGGAGGAGAGGAGGAGGAGGAGGAGGAGGAGGAGGAGGAGGAGGAGGAGGAGGAGTAAAGGATAGGCGGAGGAGGATGATGATGAGGAGGAGGAGGAGGAAGAAGAGGAGGAGGATGAGGGCAGAGGAGGAGAGGAGGAGGGGGACGAGGAGGAGGAGGAGGAGGAGGAGGGAGGGAGGAGGAGGAGGAGGAGGAGGAGGAGAAGGAAGAATAGGTTGAGGGGAAGAGTGGGTGGAGGAGGAGGAGGAGGAGAGGAGGAGGAGGAGGAGGAGGAGGAGGAGGAGGAGGAGGAGGAGGAGGAGGAGGAGGAGGAGGAGGCGGAGGAGGAGGAGGAGGAGGAGGAGGAGGAGGAGGAGGAGGAGGAGGAGGAGGAAGGAGAGGAGGAGGAGGAGGAGGAGGAGGAGGAGGGGGACGGAGGAGGAGGAGGAGGAGGAGGGAGGAGGAGGAGGAGGAGGAGGAGGAGGAGGAGGGATGAGGCGGAGGAGGAAAGGCGAGGAACTAGGAGGGGTGGCCCGATCAGGGATGTGGATCGCCGATCCTCTGATCGATTGGGGCCTGGGTGACCGATGGGATAGTGCTCCTAACCAGCCGATTGTGCTCTGCGCCTGCCTGGTCGGTCGGTCGGATTGGCGAGTTCTGGATGAGGTGTGGGAGGGTGCGGGGATTGAGGGGGGGTCAAGGGAGGGAGACAGGGTGAGGGTGCAGGGATGAGTGAGGAAGGAGGGGAAGAGGGGAGAGTGAGAAGATCGGGAGGAGTTGGGACAACAGCAGGCGTAGAAGGAAGATGGGGGAGATGGAGGAGGACAGGGAAGAGGATGAGGAGGAGGAGGAGGAGGTGGAAGAGGAGGAGGGGGAGGAGGATGCTGGAAAGGATACTGATGGGGAGGGGAGAGGAACCGCGGCAGGAGGAGGCATGGAACGAGGAAGGAGGACAGGAGGGGGGGGGAGCGGGCGGCGGATCGGCCCAGCTCCTGGGGGCGGCTCCTAAGGTGGTGCGCATTCTCGGGAGCTCGGCAGACCAGACATGTACGGATGAGCAGGATGATGATAATGAGGAGGAGTCGGAGGCGGGAGTGTGGGGGTAAGGGCCATGGTGGGCGGCATGTTGATGATAGTGGTTCTTGATGGTGATAATGACGATGATGATAATGATGATATTGATGCTGACGATGATGAGGATGATGATGCTGATGATGGTGATGGCGATGACGACGATCTTGGTGGTGCCAGCGATGATGCTGATGCCGATGACGATGACGATGATGGTAATGCTGATGGTGGTGATGATACCGAT